TCTACGAAAAAGGAAAGAATACACAACGATATGTACCGATCACGCAGGATTCGTCAAAGAGACTCCGGTCTAAACGTACGCGCCTACGCCATTTCGGTTACATTAGGATACGAATCGTCTGACAAAACACACTCATCATCATCATGTTTATTTTTGATAGTTGTCTTCCAGAGGTAAAATTACCAATATTTTTTGTGAGCGTTTTTTCAATTCTTATTAAAAATATGTCATGTGGATAACAAAATCTGCTTATCCTAAGCCAAGATATCGTTGCCTCTGTTTTTATCACGATCCCCTTTCACTCTATAGGAGTGGTTTGACCTCGTTTTAGCAACTGGATCGTTTTGTCAGGGCGAGCTAGTTGGAGGCACCTTGTCCGAAGCCCTCTTTTTAGTGGTTATGATAATTCCCAGCTTCGGATCATGCACTTTGTGCAATCCCAGACGTTTCACTGACTGCTTGCTTTTACAGCAATTGACATTTTTATTTTAATAGCCTCAGCAAACTGAAGTTAAAAAAAATTTAATTTTTTTTTGTGAACAGACCTTTTCCAGCTCGATAAAGTTATGCTTGCTTCTTTTCTTACGACAACCATTTCCCTACCCTACACTTTCTAACGTTCAGCTGCATTCACTCGGCAGCACTTGGCCGAGACAGCTCGTCAAATAACCGGACAACTAATGAGACATTTGCGTGCTGAGGTGCGTGGGCAGGCTATGAGCATTTTCGGCTCGATTGACGTTTTCGGCAACCCTGCTGGCCTTATGCATGACCTGGCCATTGGGCTACGCCATGGCCTTGTTGACTTGGACATGGCCGGTCTCGTGAGAAACGTCGCCCACGGCGTCTGCGACAGCACAGCCAAAGTGAGGGTCTTAATGTAATAAAATTAAGAATTTCCATGTATTCACTGAATGATAGTGCAAAAAATATGTAAAGTTTTAATAATAACTAAATAGGATCATAGTGGTCTACTCGTTTGTTATGAAAGAAAAATATCGAATCTACGTATTGATGTTTCAGGTCGTGGGTGGTATGTCTCACTTGGTCAGCACAATTTCAATGGATGAACGTCACCAACTGCAACGTAAATTGATTCTCGGCAGCCTTTTCGGTGACGGCTCTATTAATCGGCGCGTTATCATGGCGTCCAGTCCAGCTGGTACCCATACAGTCAGTGCGAATACGTCTGAGGCTCCTCCTTCCACTCATACCTCCGGCCAAACTGACCCGAAGCATAAAGCCCTTAGAAAGAGTTTTATCGGCGTTTCAAGCAGAAGCATCTCTGGGCAATTGCCAAAATCTCCCGGATCCCAGACCTCGGCTTCTTCCGTGTCTCCTCTCCATTCCTCAGCTATTGCACCAAAGACCAACTTGCCTCCCGTAGCTGCGGCCTCTGCGGCGGCGGCAGCACATGCGGCGTTGCAAGACCTAGCCTTTCTGGAGGATGAAGAAGGTAATCAATCCGTGACTGCTCCACTAGCCGCTGGTTTTCGGGGTTTCATGCATGGTCTTTTCGGTGGAATTACCTCAATGGTCACACAGCCATATCAAGGAGTTAAGGAGGATCAGTTCAAGGTATAGCCTCACATTATCTTATTTACTCTCATTTCTTGTCTCTGTTATTTCTCTTTATTTTAACCATCGTCGTCGTCTCACTATTAGCCATTGATCTTCATATTTGGAATCATTTTGTAAAACGAATACTCTGAGATATTAAGAGAAGCTGGGTTTGAATAATCATTTAATAGATTGATACTGGCGTACCTTTCACTTCATTTGAGAAGGCGGGTAGAAGGGATTCATAGATTGGCCTCACCGGATTCATAAGAAGGGTTGCCTTGAACTTATGTCTGTTGAATTGTGCGAAGAAGACGTCGGCAAACCGCCATACGACCCCGATAACTGTGCTTAGCTTTCGTCCGTGCTGTGATGGACATTTTCAGTGCCAGAAAGTATTATTCACGAAAAATCACCAAAAATACTAAACCGAGTAAGGTGGCCAGCTGAGATCCTACTCACTTCTTATACCTCACTTTGCTAGCTTAATGAGGCCTTCCGTTATTTGGTTAGCTGATTTATGCTTATCCTACATCCATGTAAGTGGGTCAAAGTGATGCAGGAAGGGGAGTGGATCAAGGATCACGTTTATGATTAAACATGTGATCACAACTTTTGTGTATGTAAATAAACTAGAGTATCATCCAGTCCGAAACTATTGGTCAGACATATGGATGATTGCTTTGCTATCTGGCGGCATGGCAAAGAGTGTTTGGATGACTTCCTGGGTTTAATTAATAGAGTAGAGAAGGTGACTAAATTCACTATGGGGCTAGAAAAATATAATAATCTACCCTTTTTCGATGCCCTAATTGGTAAAGAGGGGAGCAAACTAGGTAGAGATGTATATAGTAAACCCACAAATGCTGGTTTTCTTCCTAATTCCTTCTCGAACCATACTTATGGTGTTAATGTAGGCGTAATGAAATCGATTACAATAAGGAGTTTACGCCTAGCAGATATAAGTCATCAAGAACAGGAGTTAGAAAGGCTAAGAAAAATCTTAGTTGAGAACAATTATCATGTAGGATTAATTGCTAACAATTTGAAAATTTTTCGAAATAGAGTGAAATGAATCCATCATTTTGGATAAAACAAGGAATCAGACAACTCTTCGTCCAGGTTCCTAATGCTACCATCCCGCAAGCTTTTAAGAAAGATGGGTGAATTACTGAGGAAATAGAGCATCAAGACAATGTATAAAGAAACAATAACGCTTTCCTTAATCATGCCTTTATTAGAGAATCCTCACGTGCCCTTTGCAGATCAGGTTGCTATAAGGTGTTCTGCTCATGTGGTAGTGTATATGTGGAGGATCCTTGTCGACCCATACATAAGAGGCTATCAGAACAGAGAACCACCAGCATAGGCTTATGGATTCATAAATTGGAAGTGACTGAACGTGTGGTCGTTACAGGACACTATATAGAATGGTCTAAATACCAAAATTTTGCCATATATGGGGACTTCACATCTAAGCGGAAGATCAGGGGGTCGATTAAAATTAATAAAACAAAGAAAATCCTGAAAAAGTGTCTTGTAAATAGAATGAGAGAGAGAGAGAGAAGAAAAGGGAACAGGAAGAGCCATTGAGTAAGATAAGAAGACTAGACTAAACTGGAGCTTTGGTTGGAACCTAAAATTGTCAACTCACTCGGGGTTCGAAGGTAT